ATATGTTTGTTTTATATATCTTCACTTTCATAAATAGAAGTGTGCCAATATACAGTAATCCTACACAAGTTTTTACTTATAGGTATTAACATATACACATATACCAGGATAAACAATCATATAAAAAGCACATATTCACCTACGCTGGGAAATATGAAGTCATATTGGATATTGAAGTACAAGTTGTTTCAAATTTAGAATAATAAAATCTTAGCAAGCAGTTTACCTTCTGCTCTATAGATACTGAAATGGAATCATATAAAAATTGGCTTCCTTTCTAAACTTAAATCACTTATGAGAACATCTTTACAAACCTTCATATAATTGCAGAGTAGTCCCTGTTATTACTAAATTATTTCAAAAGAATTCTGATGCAGTTAACCTCTAATATAATTTGAATTTTCATGAAACCTTATCTCTAAAGAAGAATGGTGTCCAAATGACTCATCCAGTAATCCCAGATAAACACCAGATGAAACAAATATAACTTTTTCTATGCTTCAACTAAATTTCTAGTCCAAAGCACTCACTTCTATAACATGGCTGAAATTTAATCTTACTCAATTGGAGTGCTCACCTCATTTTCACAAGATTGCACTTAAGTTTTGGAGAGTTTAAGTAGTTCCAGTGTATTGAAAGACAGTGTCACATGCCAATAATCTGTATAAATTGCTGCTGAGTTGGTGCTCAGTTCTATCCACTTGACTCTCAGATTGCTCTGCAGCACTTCTGTGCCACTCCGGGATACACAAGAATCGTTCCACTGTTCTTGCTTTTGCTGTGTTATTAGACACATGAAATTCAGTTGAATGGCCATCAACTAAAATTATATGCAATCATTTAGGATTTTGGTGTTTCCTCAGTGTTCAACTTTTACTCAAAAAATTTGAATCTAATGCGCTCTTGAATCTAACAAACTAGTGTCTCCTCAAGACAATGGTTAGCATTCTCCCATAATCTAAATGCTAACCTAGTTAAATGTTAAAAAATATTCATGTATTTAAGTTAATTTTCTTCTTTTATTGAAAGGATTACCTGATGAGTATCATATCATTATAGTATGCTGTAATGATATGATGTACTATCATTATATAAAATAATAAAATTTCCTAAAATGGGTTTTTAAGCCAATTTTCCTTTACAGGCACATAAATGGAACTGGCCCTTTCATATATCACTTCACCAATCTAGCTAATACATATGGATAAGGGCACTGAGCCAAAACAGCCATTTAAAAACAAAAAGGAACTTGTCTCAGTCTTTAAACTTCACTATTCTTTCTTCTTATTCCCTATCTTAACATGCACATAAAACTGCCATCCTTGCTCATGGTACAGGAAAGACTTTATATTGTAATTAATGACCACAGATTTGACAATAATAGGATGAGAACACTTAGGCATCCATGAGCTTGGATATAGGGGCTGGAGAGTATGAATCTACCCTATCTTCTCACTCTCCTACAGAAAAGCCTGTGTGGTCACTTTCTTGCCAAATTCATCGATATGCCTGTTCCAAATAGTTGCTACCACTATGAGTTTGACAAAACTGCTAGATAATTCACTCACTGCCTAACACCATTTTAAGTATAGTGATTGCTGTGCAGCTGAGTATTACAAATGGACAATTTTCTAAATGTGGACCATTTTCGTATTTCAGGTACCCAAATTGTATTACTCAGACTAGATTTGCTGTGTCAGCTGGATTTAGACACCACAGAAACAAAATTCTGATAGCAAAATTCAGATATCAAATGTCTCCTGTCCAAAATGGAAGCAACGGAAACATCAGAATGCCATTTTGCTGTGCTGGTCTTAAAAGTGGCAGCCTTTTACATAGTACACAAATTTTCCAATTTCACTCAAGGACTCTGCTTATTAAGAAGGTCTGGCTGATTGATCCTTAAGGTAATCAATGACATGCATTCCCATAACTGTGTGTACTCCCATTGCAAAATTAATTTTTGTAAAAATTAGACCTTTATTATTCCTAAGAATGGAATATACCTATATGGGATATTGATAAAAGATTCTCAAATATGTTAACTATTTCTTCTTAATAAGCATTTGAAACTGCATTGAGTAGGACAAGAACATGAAAACCAGACAAACTCTGGTTAGTTAGAAGAATTTCCAGGTTTTGTTCCAGATTTTCTAGTCACAAGTATGCTCCACACAATGTTTCCTGTGGTCAGTCCTTCAGTTAGAGGATATTAATGACTACTTCAGCTTTGGGAGCATAACAGTCTAGTCTAAATTCATAGGTTCCAGTAATGGTAGCCATCTTGTCTGTAACCTTCTGCAAGTCAACAAAGCAGGAGTCTCTTTCACTGCCAGCACCTCATGTTGCACCTAGGTCACTAAAAGTGAAAAACTAAGGCAGTCCAGTGTAATGCTTAAGGGAAAAAAGGCTTCTTAGCTCTCAAAAGTCTATTATCTGGGCTATGTCACATTTACTTTTGGCTTGATAGTAGTTGGCAATCATGGTTATCATTGAATCTCCCAACAAATGTGACATCCTACTAGAAATAATATTAAGACCATTGTAGTCTCAGAGTACTCAATTTTTAACATAATCATTTAATGTCCAACCCATTTAGGCCAATGTCAGGGAAGTTTTTGTTTCTCCTTCATGTTTTGAGAAAGGAAGTGGTAGAATTAGAGTATGGGTCCTCTTTGTGTGATATTTTTTCAAGCCCAACCAAAGGGCTCATGGAGGACAGCTGCCTTCTTCACACTAAATTGGTACAGACCTAAAGCACTGTACTCTCTGAACAGAGCTGCAGTCAAGTACTCACTCAAACTCCTTGGGCTGGCTCTGTTTTAATGCTAAGAGATTTCTTTACCTGGAGCCTTTGATGGAGATTATTGTATCGGAGGAGGAACCCTGAAGGTAGGTATTCTGCACTCTGACTCAGTACTTCTCCACTCCTAATTCTTCTCCCTTCTTCCACCTTGCCCAAGGTCCATACAATTGCATGAGTTTGCTGTTGTTATTCTGAGTTCGCCCAACAGTGAAAGGATTCCTAACCTCTGTGCTAATCCATCTGACTCTTGCTGTGCCATAGGAGACAAATGGAACAGTGTGTGTGGGGGGTGATACTTTCTCTGGTTTAACTCCTTTCTCATAATATTGCAGTAAATAAGTAATGTTACTTTCATTGTGGCTTGTTGTCTTAATCAACTACTCTGAAACCTGGCAGCTCTGCTCTGTTCTAACCAGCAAAGCTTCTGACAAAACTTAATTTTTGTTAAAGCTCCTAGTAACCATATACCATTAATAGCATCTTCCCAAAGCATGTAAGTATGGCAGCAACTTCAACTACAAAAGAACCTAACAATTTAGACTCCCTACTATTCCATCATTTGATGTAAATATTAATTTCTTACTTAAAATTACATTATAGTTCATTTGATGCCTGTCTCCCTTTTACAATGGTTCTAGTCCTCTGGTATTACTGGTTGTCAACTTGACACATACCTTTTGACCTCGAGGTCCTGGAGGCCCTTCTGGACCTGGAAATCCAGGCAAACCTGGATGCCCCTCCAAGCCTGGAAATCCTCTCTCTCCCTGTAAATGGACAAGAATAAAAGATGAGTTCATTAGTAAATTTTCAAGCATAGACATGGCTACAATTAGAAAGATCAAATGATTATATGGATAAAGCTAAGTTAATTTAATAATCATATCTACTAACATGGAGAAATCTATAAGATATTAGAAAAAACTCATCCCAAACTTATATCATATATAGCAATGTACTCTATTTCTTATAAAAAAGTATTTCAGAGATTAAATAAGATATACATGTACTAATATCAAATTTAAGAAGGAAAATGGCAATAAAAACAAGCAACCAAATCTGTAGGTGTTGCATGACATAATTATGAGACAAGTTTGAAGAAAGGTAAAAGCACACTGTCAAAGAAGCTTCCAAATTTGTTGTAGCATAAAAAAGTCGTAGATATCCAGAATGGAAATTTATTAGCTGGTAAGATAAATTAGCCAGAGAAAACTTCTAGAAAATAAAAATTGTATAAATTTTTCCAATTGCAAAATTAATACAAAAAGGAATACACACTCATGATAGAAAATTTATAAAGAAAGCACCTCCAGTAATTTCTTTACTCAGAATAATTAATTTAATTATCAGTCCATTCTCTCTTCTGGCCGTAGCATTTACACTAGCCCAGGAGGATTGATTACCTATCAGAGAGGGACCACCATCTTTTCAAGGTCTATACAGTATAGTTGAGTGGTGTTAATTAGCATTTGCAAAGCCAGAAAAATGGAGATGGCTGAGCCAGCCTATTTACTACTTATACTGACAGATTAGGGTTAGTTAAATTGCATAAAGCCAGGTATAGAAAGGCTATGAATTCCAGCAATGTTAAAAAGACCAGTCACAGAAAGAATTCTTCAATATGAAGTTTAAAAACTTTGAAGGCTCAAGACTCTTTGGCACATGCTTTCAACTACATGACTACAAGCAACTCTTCTTTACCAAAGCTTGAAGCTTACCTCTAGCCCAATATTACTCTGTAAACCTTCTATCAGATCTTATAGTGACAGGTCAAGCAACAATTGAGAAAGAGAAGCATTGGTACTTACAAGAAGACTGTCTAAAGGATCAGGAAAGTTACATATACCTTCTAGAGAAGATGTACAGTGACTATTATTCCCATCTCCAAACTGCATTTGCGTGCATGTGTATTTGTATTGTAAGTACTAAGTTTAGTTTAAAGCACTTACATGACTTTGTATTGCAGAATTCTTTATGGTGAATCATCCTATAACCAAAAAATACAATTCTCTAAAAAGACTTTCTAATCAGTTTCCATTTACTAGATCCAAGCTAATGAATAAAATGTTGACTAATTACTATAGCTTAAAACACTCTGATGGCTTTAACAGTCATTTTTGTTGACATGTAACTAAATGAATATATTTTCTGTTTTCTAGAAGTGTAGCCCTTTCTTGTTATAATTAGTTATAAATTAAAATAATTTAATCTTCTTAACTTATTTTGAAGTTAATAGAGCAGGAAGGGAACAATTAGGTTTTGAAAAATTTTAGAGCCAGATTGGCTCAAATCATTGCATAGTACATACATTACTGACAGACTGTTAGTAAAAGTGAGATTATGAGTTCCAGTCAAAAAGAAAACAAGAGGAAAAATTTTCTAGTTCCAGTACATTTCCACAAGTAGAAAACATTTTGGGCTCTCTGCTGGTATGCAGAGCATGCGCCTGCCAAAATGTGAGAACAATGGCTGAAGACAGCTGTATTTTCTCAGACTTAAAACTACTATCTGTGCGATAGATAAGAGAGAAATAAAATAAAGATTGAAAGTGGGTTTGCTAAAAACTTAACTGTGCTATTATTAATAAAACCTTATGCCTATAAATGCTGCATCGTACAATCTCCTCACCTTATTATACTCGATCAGTGTGGTCCTATCTGACTGAGCAATATAGTAAGAAAGATTTAAGGACAGCAATGAGGCAGTAGCAAAAAAATTGAAAGAATGTTCCTGATATTTTTAAAGGTAGAGGTTTAATAAAGTAGAAAGTATACAATCCTTGTGTAAGGAAGGTTTGAGTGTAGGATCCTCCACCTAAAACCTAATACAGATGGTAGGGGACACGGACACAGGTTGCCTCCTAACTCTTATTATCTTTTATTAAATGCTCATTTAATCCTTAAAATTGCTATAGGCTTTACTGTAATTTGCTAACACAACAGAGACTAGCACATTATGTTTATTTCAGGAAGTTCAACTTTAAAAGAAATCATTCTTATTTTTCTTTGTGAAGTAACATGCCTTTCCCTTTGCCTGCCCTTTCAATATTGGTATTACTCCAGATTCCTGCTTTGACCTTTACTATCTTTTCCTGGGCAATCTGAAATGTCAATTGTTTTCTTAAAGCTAATCTCCTATAAATAACTGTCTTAAACATCTCTCAGTCATTTTAAACTCAACAACAATAACAAGTAAATGTACCTAGTGTTTTCTTTGTGCCAGAGGTTATTCTACTTCTACATTTCATTTTAATACTTTTAAGGAAAAGAGTAGGTGCATAAAACTTACAGTTTCTGTATGAAACATCACAAAGAAAAGTTTTATAATTTTTCTAAGAGAAAACAATAAAAATCCATTTTCTACCATCTTTGCTATTCAAACAAATGATATAACTCAGCTACCCTACTCAGAAATTTGTACTAATCTTAACTCTACTCTCTCCATTGCCCCTTCATCTTCTCAATCAAGTCATCTTCAGCCTTGAATTCTTAGACTCTAACAGAACAAATACTCATAACGAATGGAATTCCTTAATGGATTGCACAAAACTTTTAGAAAATGATTTTGACCCAAACTCTGAAACAAAATGATTCAGGGTTGTGAAAAATTACCCAAAGGTGACAATTTATGATTAAGCTCATTTATTTTAAATCATCTAGTGTTAAGAAAAATAAAACTAATTGTCGAGAATCAGTCTCTACAATGTAAGTTAAAGACACTCTTAAAAAGTTATCATTTTGTAAGAACACTTTATAATTACAAAAGAAAATTTCATGAGAATGTAATTTTATGTTAAGAATATAGTTTTCCAAAAAAGATATAAAATCAACAATAGAAATATTAGGCTTCTAGGGATTGGAAAAACTAAGACAAGCTATAACAATAACAACTGAGATTAAATTATTTGAGTTATAATAGTACAAATATGTATAAATTAAATGAACATATAGGTAAGGCAAGAACTTTAATGAATAAAAAATAATAATTTAATTACACTGCACAAGTTTGTCTCCTTTTGGTATAATTTCAGTTTTGTCTTTATAACTATATAGCACACATAAATAGCAGATGTAATATAATTAGGAAAGTAAAATATTTAAGAAGTCATCAAAATGAAAATATGTAGGTCAAATGTTCTAAAACATTAGCTTTAAACAGAACCACATCAAGAGCTTGTTAAAACACAAGTTATGAGGATCCATGATCAGAGTTAGTTTAAGTAAGTTGTGGAGCCCAACAATGTATATTTTTAGGAAGACCCCTGTAAATGTTAGTGCCACATTATTTGACTGCGACATATCATTTACTGGACCACTTTTTGTTCTCATCCAGACTCTGGTGAGCTCTGCTTACTTTTAGCAGTAAGTACGCAAGTATATTCTTGGAGAGTTATCTAGAGTTTTACTATTTCTATATTAAATGGACAGTTAAAAAGCAGTTTTACAAAAGAAAAAATTAGCATAAACTACACATATGAGTTTTACAACTTAAAATTTTTATATATGTACCAGTGAAATCCTCTCTGTAACCAAATTAATAAATACATGCATGCTCACAGGTTTCCTTGTACTCATTACCTTCCTCATACCTTTACCCCACCTCCTGCCAACCATTTGCAGCCTATGAGTGACCCTTTTCCTGTCATTAGAGATTAATTTGCATTTCTAGAATTTTATGTAAATCTAATAATGTAGAGCAAGTCTTTGTTTAATTTACTACTCAGTATTATTAATGTGAGATTCAAAAATGTTGTGTGTATCAATAGTTTATTTTTATTGCTAATCATATTTTATTGTATAGATAGATAAACTAATGTGTTAATTCATTTCGGTTGAGTTGTTTCTAGTCCATGGTTATTGCAAACAAAACTACTATAAATACAAGTTCTGTATAGATACATGCTTTCATTTTGTGAGTAAATGCCTAGGAATCGACAGGGTCACATACGATAGATGATTAACTTTTAATAAAACTGTCAATTTGTTTCCCAAATAGTCTGTATTGTTTTACATTTGCACAAACAATCTATAGTACTTGAAGTTACTCCACATCTTCACTTATACTTCATGTGGATGAATTCAATATTTTGATATTTTAACAGACTTATGGTGATATCCCATTGTAGTTTTATTTTGCATTTTCTTAATTAATAATATTTAACATCTTTTAAAGTATTTACTTATGCTCCTTATATTTGTTTCTAAGAAGTGTCTTTAAATCTCTTGTTAACATTTTTTTCTAATTTAGTTTTACTTGGGGCTGTTTGGTTTATCATTGGATATATAGACATCTTTAAAATTTTTGCATGCAATATAGTAGATTAAGAATTGCAAATATTTTTGCACACTATAGCTATCTTTTCATTTTTATCTTTTTTTTAAATTTTATTTATTTATGTGTGTGTGTGTGTGTGTGTGTGTGTGTGTGTGTGTGGCCATCTCAGCCCACCAGGGGGCGGGGCTGGCTGGCATGTAGTGCTGGGGGATTGAACCGCAGTCCCTGTGCTTTGCTAAGCTTGTTCTAAGTAGGTACTTTAGACCACTGAGCCATCTCACCAGCCCCTTCATTTTTATCTTAACACTTTAGAGGACAATGCAGTCTTAGTTTTGATGAAATAGAATTTAGAAATACTTTTTTATTTTTTATTTTTTTGCAGAACCGTGGATTGAACTCAGGCCCTTGCACTTGCCAGGCAAGCACTTATTCTACTGAGCTGTCTCCCCAGCCCAGCAGTACTTTATTTTATGGGCCACAAATATATGTGTAACCTAAGGTCATAAAGATTTTCATCTCTGTTTTCTTACTTCATCTCTTACTTCACCTCTGCTTCCTTAAAGCTGTATAGATTTGGATTTTATATTTAGGTCTATAATCTCTTTTGATTTAACTTTTATGTACAGTCAAAGCTGAATTGAACCCCACTTTTGTTCATACGGATATGCAACTTTCCCAAGGCTGTTCATTAAAGCACTGTCATTTGTCCACTGAGTTGCTTTTGCACTTTTGTCAAAAATCAATTCACCATACATCTGTGACTACTATTTGTGAGTCTCTACATTTATATCTATCTATGTGTCTATTATTTGGCTGACAATACTATCTTATTTCCTGCAGTCAACACTAAGTCTTGCAAGTATGTACTTTCTGTAAGTCCTCCAACTTTGTTCTTCTTTGTAAAGCTGTATTAGCACTGTACATGAATTTTGAACTCCATTTACTAATTTCTACAAAATAAAATTTTTTTCTAGTGGTACTAAGGTTTGATCCCAAGCTCTTTGCACTGAACTACAACCCCAGCCCTTCTAAATATTTTTGAAATACTGTCATAGAGTTTCCCAGGCTGGTTTACGCTTGTGATTCTTCTGCTTTACCATCCCAGAGTGCTGGGATTACAAGCATGCACCAGCTCAGAACATAATTTTGATTGTGTCTACCTTGAATCTATACATAAATTGGAGGATATTGGCAACTTAATAATACTGAATGATCCAGTCCATGAAAATGAAAATGTATCTCTATTTATTGAAGTTGTTTTTGTCAGTAATATTTTTGTAATTTTCAGTGCATAGGTTTCTTATATTTTTGTCTAATTTAATTTATTCCTAATGATTTATATTATATTTATAGTATAATTCTAATTTCTTAGTTTTCATTGTTTATACAACTATAATGAATTTTATTCATTGATATTAGTATATTGATTTTATTTACTCTGTGAACTTTCTAAACTCAGCTGTAAGTTTTAGTAGCATTTTGGTAGATGCCAATAGAACTTTCTATGTTAACAAATCATGTCAACATCATAAAAAAGTACAATTGTATTTCTCTCTTTTCAGTTTGGATATTTTTTCCTTTCTTCTTCCTTGCCTTACAATATAAGCATATGGAATAGGCTGTGAAAGCACAAATATTTCTGAATTTAGGAGAAAAGAACTCTTGCCAAAGAGTAGATTTTTAGGTGTGTGGATGAGGTAGATGATTCTTAAAATTGAGGAAATCTCTTTTACTCTTACTTTGCTGAGAATTTTTTAAATCAGCCATTGATTGAACTTTATAAAATGCATTCTCTCTCTCTCTCTCTCTCTCTCTCTCTCTCTCTATCTATCTAATATTTTAGCTTTTTAAAATAACGAATTACAAATTTTTAGTTTTCAATATTAAACCAAGAAAATATTAAACCAAACATACATTCCTATTATTCTCAGTTGGTCATAATGTATTGCCCATTTTTTTTTCTGTATTTAGGACAGAGTCTACAGGATCTCACTATGTATATCAGACTCATAGTGATTCTCCTGTTTTCAGGCTCGCAAGTGCTGGGATCACAGGGGCAAGCCACCATGCTCAGTCCCACAGTGCCCACTTTTTATATCATTATATATCATACAATCTGTAAAAATTTTAAGAATCACTACAACTGGGCTCATGAAGGAAACTAATGTGTAGATTTCTGGTTATAATTTTTGTTATTTGGTAGTACTTGGGCTTGCACTCAGGGCCTTTGCATTGAACTACAATCCCACGCAATTTATTATTATCATTTTTTAATATTATGATACAAAGTCTTCTTAAGTCACTAAATTGCTCAGGCTTGGTTTAAACTGGCAATAACCCTACATCAACTTCACAGGGTGCTGAGATTGCAGTAATGTGCTCCCATGCCAAAAAAAAATTTCTGTTTTTGTTCCTTTGTCTTTATGCAGTTTAAGATCAAGGATATGATTGCTTCATAAATTATATGAGGAATATCCTGTGTTTGTTCATTTTCAATTGAAAGTTTTAATTACATAATGGACATTGTAGGTAACATGAAAAGAATCTTAGTTTTCTTCCTCTAAAGAACATTGATATTTTGCTGCAAAAATAGTTAACTCAGATAAACTAACATTTATAATTGTTTCCCCCTAACAGGACAGTATTTAAATCTATCCTCAGTTATTGCAAGCTTCAAGCTATTTCTTTTTACTTGATTGTAGAAAATATCTCCTATGTATCTAAAGGCTATGGTTCACAAGTATTTGGGTGAAAATTTCAGGAATTATTTTAGGCTATTGCCCCTGTGTTCATTTTCATTCTAGCATATCTTCCCTCATTTTCTAGCCATCCTGATACCTTCATCTTCTTTCTTTGACTTTTCAAGTCACTAAGACTATGGCTTTCTGTCTTAGTTCTAGCCAACTTCTGCAATGGAGACTGAAAGTTGTATGCAGAAGAAAAAGACATATTAATATAAATTCACCCAGTATAATTCTTTTAAAAAAACGATAAAATCCTCTACCTTTTTCCTTTGGTCACTTTCCTGTGTTCTAAAACAGTTAATGCTTCATCCAGAATGTTTAGTTCTTATCTCTAATGAGTTAATATGATAAAAGACATTGCACTATTTTCTGAAATGAATCACTCTTAAGTCTTCTTAGCAATATGGAAAGCAACTTACTGCAAAGCAGCTCCCTTCAAACTAATGGTATTCATATGTCTTCTGTAGAACACTATTCACTTAACATTAAGGTTGTTCTATTAAGGAGGAAAACAGGGTATATGATCAAATGAGCCCTGGATAGTGCTATAGAAGAAGAAAACAGGTCTGTTTACTCCAAGATTTTAAGCATCTTGAATATGTTAATAGATCTTCCATATTCCTATATAGTATAGGACCTAGAGACATTGTATCAAAATTTTCCATATTTAGTAAATTCACTCATCGAAAAATATTTATTGAGTTCCAAAGTGCTGGAATTACAGTATGATCCTGTCTTCTAGTATAATCCTCTTTACATTACAATTCGCTATCATTTTTTCATTTATGCATTCGGTGCACAACTGTGCCACCACACCTGGACTCCCATCACTAGCTCAGTGTGCCCCCAGAGTGGAGCCAGTGCAGCATGTGGGACCAGGCACTATCACTTATCAATTTTTTAATTTTATTGTCAGTCACTGACTCAGAATGCCAATGTTTAAGGTTTTTGCACTCACCAATATTCTTTTTTAATCAAGTGTATGAAATCAGAGATGATTATGTGGGGAAAGAGAAAGAAAAATATATATTTGTCTATTATTAAGGTACATGGATTAGATAAAACTACATGAAATTCCCCAGCATGGAATTCAATACAGCGGAGTATTCTGATAAATGTTTAGTTTCTTGTTAAGTGTCTTCTCCCTCTTTTTGCTTATTAAGTCAGTGACTTCAACGAAATAGATAAGCAGTGATCAGATAACAGGTGTCAAGATGAATACCATCAGAGGCTTATTTTATGTTCTCCAAGAACTAAGAATTCCTGTGGTCATTTCTATCAGGCCATTTTTAAACCTAATTAAAGAAAAGCTTGGAATGAAGATCTGTGGCAAAATGCTAGACTCACATGTGGAAGGTGCTGGTTTCCATTGCCAGCACTGCAAAATAAAAGTAACCAAACAAAAACAAACAGAAATATCAGAAAAAAAGAAAATATCATAGAGATTTTGTGTCCTAGAAAGCCCAAAATATTCATTACATGGGTTTTCATAAAAAAAAATTTGCTGACCCCTGACATAAAGACTGCATGAAATAACTTCTCTAAAATAATCAGTGTGGTAGAGTTTATTTTACTTATGTGCTGAGATGGAATCTCTACATTTTTTGTTTTGTTTTGTGGATTTTAAGGAAGGGTCTACAGGGTGTTCCAGGCCTCACTACTAGATCAGACTAATAGTGATCCGCTTGTTTAAAACATCTCAAGAGCTGCGATTACAGGCAGGCACCACCACACCCAGTCTCAACTGCTGTCTCGTCATGCCCTGGGGAGTGGGGCCTGCATGGCAGGCCTGGGGATCCAACCCGCACCCCCAGCACCTGCTTGCAGGCTCTTTAGTCTGCTGAGCTATTTGGCCAGCCCCGGAATCACTATTTTTAAAATTTCTATCAGTAGTTAATAATTTTACTAAGTTTGCACAAGAACATGTCAGATCTTACCTTTTCTCCTTTTACACCACTACAGTCACATTTTGACCCTGGAGAACATCCGTAGCAAGCCTATGAGAAAGAGAAAGAGGGAGAAATAAATACAAACCAAAAAATTATACTATGTCATATAACTCAACTGAATTCAGCAATCTATCTACATAGAGCAAATACCAGAAAAATATCTAAAAGAACATGTACAAATAAAAATAATGGTTACCTGTGTGGAACCTCTAGCTTTTTATTATAAACATCTTATTATATAATTAAAATTATAAATACCTTCTTAAAAGATATTACAATGAAAAATAAATTAATATAACTTCCCTATAATATGATTTGTTACTTTTCCACTCTAAAAACTCATTTTTTCTTTCAACATCGGTTGTAAGAAATCACCTTTCAACTTATATCAAAAATAACTTTGGCAACTATCCAACAATAGCTGTCACTTAAAGTCAACTGATACTCTGCATTCACAGCTAGAATAGACTAGTATACCCAATGGGAATTCATAAAAAAACAAGAATAGTTATTCTAATTTCAAAGTACAGCTCAAGCCAAAACTGATCAGAAAAGACAAAGATGTTCAATAAATATTGAGTATCCAAACAATTAAATAGGAAGAGATAACAAATACAAGGACATACCCACCAGACACTGGTGTCCACTTTTATAAAATAAATTATTAGACATAAAAATGAGACGTTCACCAATGCAACTATAATGAAGGACTGCAAAAATCCAACTGTAAGAGACACATCAAATAGACTAAAAAGAAAAAAAGAAATATCAGAGAAGAACCAAACCTTCAGATAGATAGCCTTAATATATTTCTACAGAATGTTCCCCTGAAGAACAAAATACACATTCTTGTAAGCACTACATCAAACTGTTTCTCAAACAGACCATGTTAGCTCCTAATGCATGCTTACATAAATGCAAAACAATTATCCCAGGCAATTATCCTATCACAGTGCAAAGAAACTAGGCATCTATGACAAAATATTATGCAAAGTCATGGAAATTAAATATTTTCATGAATACACAATTGGTCAAAGAAATCAAGAAAGAATTTAAACAGTATCAATAAAACATATCAGGTCCTATGCAACACAGTGGAAGAAGGAAGTTTATAGTTGTGAATCTCCATATCAGAAAATGAAGCTTAAGCCAAAGTGAATAATTTAGGTCCTACCTTGAGGTCCTACAAAAACAAAACAACCAAGATCCAACACAACAAGGAGGGAAAGTGTAAAGATCAGAGCAGAAGTTGATGAAATTGAGACTAAAAACGGAAACACTATAATGAAGTGTTTTCTTTAAAGAATAAACAAAATTGACAAACTCCTAACTAATCTTACAAAAAAGGCAAGAAAGGACATTAATCAAATCAATGAAATTAGAAATGAAAAAGGAAAAGTCACACAGACTGCTGAAATTCAGAAGACAATTAGTGACTATTTTGAGAACAGTACTATAATAAAATGGAGAATTTCAGAAAAATTTGACAAATTTTTCAATACATATGAACTACCAAAACTGAACCAAAAAGATATACAAATCTGGAATAAGCCAATATCAGGTAATAAAACTGAATAAATAATTAAGAAAAATCTACCAGCTAAGAAAAGCTCAATTCCTGAAAGATTCACTACCAAATTGTACAAGAACTTTAGAAAAGATTTAATGTCAATATGCCTCAGACTCTTTAATGAAATTGAAAGGAAAGGAGTACTTCCAAAGTTATTCCTGGAAGGTAGCATTACCTTCATTTCAAAACCTGAAAAGGACCAAACCAAAATATGAATTTACAGGCCAATCTATTTGATGAACATAGACATACAAATCACCAACAGGATACTGGCACATGGAATGTCACGAATCATTAAAGACATAATATGTCATGATCAAATAGGATTCATTCCATGAATACAGGGTTGTTTCAAAATAAGCAAGTCAGGGGCCAGGGAGATGGTTCAGTGGAATAAGCACTTCCCTGGCAAGTGCAAGGGCCTGAATTCAGTCTTCAGTTATGGGGGGAAAAAGTCAACAAATGTAATTTATAACATAAATAGAAGCAAAAAACGTTACAGAATCAGATCATTACAGTTAACTAATAAAAAGATTTTCACAGAATCCAACAGTCATACAATCATCTTTTTCTTTTTGTATTTAGTACAGGATCTACAGGGTCTCACTACATAGAACAGACTCGTAGTGATTCTCCTGTTTTCAGCCTCCCAAGTGCTGGGATTACAGGCGTGCCCCACCATGCCCAGTCTTAATTGCCTTCTCAGCCCACCCTGGGGGCGGCAATCAAACCCTGGCCACTGCTTCTGCCTTGGGTCAGGGTCTCTGCCTAAGCAGAGGCTTTAATCTGCTGAGCAATTTGGCCAGCCTTCCAACAATCATTCTTGATAAAATCAAAAGTTACACACTCAGATCATCACAGTTGATTAAGAAAAAGACTTTCACAGAATCCAACAATCATTCTCTTTTTTTCATGTTTAAATGCAAATTTTAATTGTAAAAATTGTTTTCTGTAAACATATCAACCTCTCTGCACACAACTTGGTACAGACATATATACAAATGGTACACATAGATATTAACTGTACCACAGAACAAGGTCAGGGTGAGAAACATTTAGTCCTAGGACTACCTCAGCTTTTTTCAGGCCTTTTCCTTCTACTTTTATTTCAAGTTTTTACCTCATGTGATGAAATCATAAAGGTGCTTCCTAAGGTTTACCCTGTATTCTACCAAATACATGCTTATGGGCCAACAATCATTCTTGATAAAATCCTGGAGAAAATTGGTAACAAAAAAGGACCTTATCTCAATCTGATAAAAGCCATTTGTGACAAACCAACCAGTGGCCAACATATGAAATGGGGACAACCTGGGAGCATTCCCACTAAAATAATGAACAAGACAAGAATTTCCATCATTATCAGTCCTGTTCAATAATATGACTCTCAATATATTAGCCAGAGCAGTTATACAAGAGATAGAAATAAAAGGGTTGTGTTGAGCCAGGCATGGTGCAGCATGCCTGGAATCCCAGCACTAGGGAGGCTGAGGCTGGAGGATCATTGAGTTCAAGACCAGACTGAGGTATAAAGTGAGCTCAAGGTCAGCCTGACTGCATAATGAGACCCTGTCTCAAAAAGCCAATAAAGGGGAGGGGTGATATGTATATGAAAGGAAAAAGTTAAACTATTATTGTTTGTAGGTGACATGATACTCTATCTAGAAGAGCCAAAAAATTCTACCAAAAGACTCTTAAACTTCATAACCACATTCAGTAGTGTAGCAGGATACAAAATCAACACAAAATTATTAGTGATAATGTAGAACAATAATAAAATCACTGATGATACAGAGGGCAGGGGCTAGGGTTTGATCCCAGCATGCTGTGCCGGCCCTGCACCCCAAGCACACTGAAATGGAGATTGAAACTGGGCGTGGTAGTGCAGGTCTATAATTCCAGCACTTGGGAAGCTGAAAACAGGAGAATCACTAGGAGTTCAATCTATGAAGTTAGACCCTGTAGACCCTGTGGATCCTTTTCTAAACACATTTAAAAAATCACTGATGATAACATTAGGGGAGTAATGACTTTCACAATATGATCAAGTAAAATTAGATATTTAGAAATTAACCCAAATAAGGAAGTGAAAGAATTTTGCAATGAAAACTACAGTACTGTATTATTTTTTTAAATCAGATATGACATCAGAAGATAGAAGGCTTTCCACTATTTGTGGATAGACAAAACCAAATTAGTAAAAAGACTGACATACAGATTTAACACAAGGCCAGTCAAAATATCAATGGTATTTCATGAAGTACTAGATAGAACAATCCTAAAACTCATACACAACCAGAAGACACCTAAAATGAATAAAACAAAACTGGAGAAAAAGAGCAAAGCAGATGGAATCATAATCTCAGGCTTCAATTTATACTATACCTGCACAGTACTGGCCAAAAAGAAAAAAAAGTGAGAAACAATAGAACAAAACAGGAGGTACAAAAATAACATCAAGCATATTCAGCTGCCTGATAGTTAATGAAGAGGCCAAAAACTTATATTGGAGGAAAGATTGACTCTTTAAAAAGTGGTGCATGAAAAACAGGGTATCCACATACAGAAGACTGAAGATAGAATTACCTACATCTCTTACTATGTACTAAATTAAAATCAAAATAAATCCAAGAAGTAAACATTAAACAGAAACACTAAATATGCTGGAAGATAAAATCAGTAAAACTTTTGAAGATGTAGGTATAGGCAAGTACTTTCTGAACAAAACCTCAATTGCATAAGAAATAACATAAAAAATCAACACACAGGATCACACTACATTAAAAATCTTCCGCACAGAAAAAATAAAGAGGCAAAAGAGTAAAAACACAACCTATAACATAGGAAAAAAATTTTCCATCTTTTTTTCAGGCAGAAAACTAATACCTAGAATGTATAAAGAACTGAAAAAATCACAGCATCCCAACTGGGCAGATACTTCAGTGGTCTAAGCTCCTGCCTGGAAAATGCAAGGACCCAGGTTTGATCCTCAGTAGCACATGCTGTTCCAGCCCTAGAACCGTGGGCAAGATGAGATGGCCAGCGAAACCAGGCACAATGGTCCACACCTATAATTCCAGTGCTCAAGAAGTTGAGAAAAGAGGATCACTAGGATTCTGAGCTGCATATTGAGATCTTGTATCAAATAAATAAATGCAAGAAAATTTTAAAAAATCATTCAGCCTATAAAGAAGACCCAGTCCAAAAAACGTGCACAACTGAAATTCATAAACATTTCTCATAATTAAACCTGGTGAAAAAATCTTTACCATCACTGGCCAATCAAGAAATGCAAATTAAATAATAATGAGATTTTATCTTTCTCCAGAAATAATTTTATCATAAAAACACAAATAATAGCAAATGCTATCAAGAATGTGGGGACAAGGAACATTTCTTCATTTTTTTATTGGAATGTAAACTACTACAAATGGTACAGAGATTCCTCAAAATAGTAAGCCGAAAAATTCCATTTAAC